ACAGGAAGAGGACAGGAAGAGGACAGGAGGAGGACAGGAAGAGGACAGGAAGTGGACAGGAAGAGGACAGGAAGAGGGGAGGAAGTGGACAGGAAGTGGACAGGAAGAGGACAGGAAGAGGACAGGAGGAGGACAGGAAGAGGACAGGAAGTGGACAGGAAGAGGACAGGAAGAGGACAGGAGGAGGACAGGAAGAGGACAGGAAGTGGACAGGAAGAGGACAGGAGGAGGACAGGAAGAGGACAGGAAGTGGACAGGAAGAGGACAGGAAGAGGACAGGAAGAGGACAGGAAGAGGACAGGAAGTGGACAGGAAGAGGACAGGAAGAGGACAGGAAGAGGACAGGAAGAGGACAGGAAGAGGAGGACAAAGTGCATCACACTGTAAAACAGTTGAATGTATTTCTTGCTACCAGGTGAAACAATAATATTTAGTAAAATATTTGAAATTTTTTAAACCTTTGAAGTTTCAGCTGTTCTGATCCTGCTCTGTATTTTACACACAGATGTTTTATTTATTATTTACATAAACCTTACAAACTGAATGAGTTAAACCATCTTCCTCTCAGCATTAAATAAAAACTCTGACATGACAACAGAAATCACAGCAGCCTGTTTCCATGTGGTCTCAGTGGAGTGGGCGGGGCCTGTGACCCCCTCCCAGCTCTCCATAGAGTGGGCGGAGTCTGTAATCCCTCAGATCTCTGTAGACTGGGCGGAGCCTGCAAACTCACAGGTCTCTCAGGAATGGGCGGAGCCTGTGAGCCCCCAGGTCTGCGTGGAGTGGGCGGAGCCTGGCCCCTGTCAGCCCGCGGCCTTGTGCTTCCCGCCRCAGCAGTGGCAGGCCACGCCGCAGCGGTGGCAGGCCCTGAGCGGGCCGTAGCAGCACATGCAGGGCGCCACCAGGGACAGGCTGATCAGGGCCGTCCAGCGCAGGCAGAAACGCTCGTCGCTGGTGTCGCAGGAACACGGGTCGCTGTAGTCGCCCTCTGGGTCCGACATGCAGTGGTACAGCAGGCTGTCGGCGCACCACATGAAGCTCACCCGCCGGATGCACGTCTTGATGGGGTCGGGTGCCTCCTGGCACCGCCCCCTCCCGTTGTCCTCCTGRACGAACGTGTCCTGACAGTAAACGCAGCGGGAAGGCTCTGGCTCCGCCCCCTTCCACTTGCATTTGGGAGGAAGTGCTTGTGGCGGCAGCGTGACCACGGGGCGGTGTGCGACGCCCAGCTCCAGGCAGCCGGGTTTACCGCTGTAGCCTCGCTGCAGGTCGCAGCCCCGCGGGTACGTGCAGGTGTACGTGTGTTTGGGCAGCTCGCTCTTGGTGAAATGCATGCAGGCGTCCGGGCTGCGCACCTGGGCCAGGTGATCGCAGGTGGAGTTGGTGTGGCGATAGTCCTCGTAGCCGGTGAGCCAACTCCGCTCGCGGGGGTTGATGTGTACGACCTCCTCTTCCTCCAGAGGGAAGCTGACATGACGAGGAAACATGTGCACCGCCTGCGAGGCCCAGAGCACACGTTAATCAGAGACATGACGAAACGTTTAAAAGAATTGTTCTAAAGAATCGATCCGTTTAAAAGAATTGTTCTAAAGAATCGATTTGTTTAAAAGAATTCTTCTAAAGAATCGATTCGTTTAAAAGAATCAGTTCGTCCTAAAGAATCGATTCGTTTAAAAGAATCAGTTCGTTCTAAAGAATCGATTCGTTTAAAAGAATCAGTTTGTTCTAAAGAATTGWTTCRTTTAAAAGAATCAGTTCTTTCTGAAGAATCGATCCGTTTAAAGAATCAGTTCATTCTAAAGAATCGATCCGTTTAAAAGAATTGTTCAAAAGAATCGATCCATTTAAAGGAATCAGTTAGTTCTAAAGAATCGATCCGTTTAAAAGAATCAGTTCGTTCTAAAGAATCGATTCGTTTAAAAGAATCAGTTCGTTCTAAAGAATCGATTCGTTTAAAAGAATCAGTTCTTTCTGAAGAATCGATCCGTTTAAACGAATCAGTTCATTCTAAAGAATCGATCCGTTTAAAAGAATTAGTTTGTTCAAAAGAATCGATCCGTTTAAAAAGAATCAGTTTGTTCAAAAGAATCGATCCGTTTAAAAGAATCAGTTTGTTCTAAAGAATCGATCCTTTTAAAAGAATCAGTTCGTTCTAAAGAATCGATTCATTTAAAAGAATCAGTTCTTTCTGAAAAATCGATCCGTTTAAAAGAATCAGTTCATTCTAAAGAATCGATTCGTTTAAAAGAAGTGTTCTAAAGAATCGATCTGTTAAAAAGAATCAGTTTGTTCTAAAGAATTGATCCGTTTAAAAGAATTAGTTCGTTCAAAAGAATCGATCTGTTTAAAAGAATTGTTCAAAAGAATCGATCCATTTAAAAGAATTGTTCTAAAGAATCGATCCGTTTAAAAGAATCGGTTCGTTCTAAAGAATTGTCAGCAAGTCATTCATTCAGCACATGAGCTGACAGTACGGATCGTTCAGCAACAAGAACAGTTCTGAGCTGAAGACCAGACTCACCGGGTCCAGGAAGCAGGGTTCGGACGGTCGGTGCTGCTCATACAAACGTCCCAGGATGCAACGGTGCCGGCGGGGTTCACAGAGGTGGGGCGGAGCCAGAGTGTTGAGGGCGGGCTCTCTCCTCTGAGACGAGTTGGACGAGCTGTCTGTGGCTGTCTGCAGAGAAGAGAGGATTCTGGGTAAGAGCTGAGCTGATACTCATCCATCCATCATCCATCCATCCATCCATCCATCATTCATCCATCCATCATCCATCCATCATCCATCCATCCATCATCCATCATTCATCCATCATCCATCCATCCATCATTCATCCATC